CGGAAAATTCCCAAAAATCCCAGGAATGCCCCGAGGTGGCGGCCGCGGCCGCTCCGGGGGCGCTCGGGGCTCGTCCTTGGAGCGGTCGCCATGGAAAAGGCAAAGCCCCGCTGAGGGGCGGGACCGCGGCTGACGGACACGGGCGGGGAAACTGAGGCACGGCGGGACGGGGGGACGGGGATGGGGATGGGGACAGGAACAGGAACGGGTACAGGGACGGGGACAGGGATGGGGACAGGAATGGGGACAGGGATGGGACAGGAACGGGGACAGGGATGGGGACAGGGATGGGGACAGGGATGGGGACAGGGATGGGACAGGGATGGGGACAGGAACGGGGACAGGGATGGGGACAGGGGCTGATGGACACGGGCGGGGAAACTGAGGCACGGCGCAACGGAGGGGACGGGGGGACAGGAACAGGCACAGTAACAGGGACAGGGATGGGGACAGGGACAGGAACAGGGACAGGAACGGGGACAGGAACAGGGACAGGAACGGGGACAGGGATGGGGACAGCGATGGGGACAGGAATGGGGACGGGGACAGGGATGGGGACAGGAATGGGGACAGGAATGGGGACAGGGATGGGGACAGGAACGGGGACAAGGATAGGAACAGGGACAGGGATGGGGACAGGAATGGGGACAGGGACAGGAACGGGTACAGGGATGGGGACAGGAACGGGGACAGGGACAGGACAGGGACAGGGACGGGGACAGGAACGGGGACAGGGGTAAAGGAAAGGGACAGGACAGGGACAGGAGGGGACAGAGGTGGCCTTTGGGATGGGGTGGTGACACTGCGGTGCCTGTGGGGTGGCAAAGGGCACGAGCATGGCAGTGCCAGGGACAGAGCCATGATGGTGGCGGTGCCACCGACCCGGCACACGTGTGGCAGTGCCGTGACGGTGGCGGTGCCACCGACCTGGCACATGTGTGGCAGTGCCAGGAGGCCAAACAGCAAACCAGGGCTGAATTTTGGGGTTTTTATTCCCCAGATTCTGGGGTGGGGAGGGTTGAGCCGCTTCCCGTCCTTCCTGCTGGGACACAAAAACCAGGAGGGAAAAATCCCGGAGCTGCTGCTGCCCTTGGGATGGGGCTGGGATTGATCCCGAAGAGGAAAACCCTGGAATTCGCTGGGTGGGAAGGACCTGAAATCCCATCCAGCCCCATCTCGGACCTGCCGCCTTTCCAGGCTGCTCCAGCCTTTCCTTGGACGTTCCAAGGACGGAGCGGCCGGAGCTGCTCTGGGAATTGCATCCCAGGCAGGAATCCCTTCCCAAAATCCCCAAATCCCCAAATCCCACCCAGCTCTCCCTTTTCCCTTCCCAAATCCATTCCTGTGTCCTGTCCCTCCAGGCCTTGTCCCCANCTTTCCAGGCTGCTCCAGCCTTTCCTTGGACGTTCCAAGGACGGAGCGGCCGGAGCTGCTCTGGGAATTGCATCCCAGGCAGGAATCCCTTCCCAAAATCCCCAAATCCCCAAATCCCACCCAGCTCTCCCTTTTCCCTTCCCAAATCCATTCCCTGTGTCCTGTCCCTCCAGGCCTTGTCCCCAGTCCCTCTCCAGCTCTCCTGGAGCCCCTTTCAGGCCCCGGGAGCGGTTTTGTCGCCTGTCGCGACAGGCCCCGAGCGACAAGGCCGCAATGGCGCCGTTGCCGCGGCAACTCCCCGGGGAACTACGGCCCCCACCAGCCCTTGCGGCGCAGCGCAGCTGTGATTGGCTGGGAGGACGGAGCCAATAGGAAGCGGCGTTGTTGGTGAGCGGGACAAAATGGCGGCGCTGCGCCCGGTGAGCCGCAGGTACCGGGAGGGGAAATCCCGACCTTAAAATTCCAAATTAATCCTTTACTCCTTCTCCTCACTCCTTGTTCTGCTTTCATTCCCCCCAAGCTTGTCCCTGCTGCGTGGTTTTCCCTTCCCGCCGCTGCCGAACGCTCTGGAGCCGCTTCCCGGGAGCTCCAGCGCCGCCGTTCTCCGCCGCCTCCCGGTGCCGCCGTGGGGTTTCCAGCAAAGCCGGGGGAAATCCCGGGGGAACGAGTACCAGCCCAACAACTGGAAGAGAAAGAAGACTCACGGCTGGATCAAACGGATCCGAACTGCGGGCGGGATCGCCGTGATCCTGCGGCGGATGCTGAAGGGGAGAAAATCCCTGAGCCACTGAGGCAGCGCCGGGAATTCCCCGGGAATTCTCCTCCGGGAATCCTCCAGGAATTCGGGATGGTCCCGCCGGGCCCTGCAGGGGGAGCGCAGCCCTGCTCGCAGTGTCATCTGCGTCCCTCCGAGACAGTTGTTCAATTATCCTGGCGTGTTTATTCCAAGTTTTTACGTTTTGTTGGTTTATAAACCGTGGCGATGCAGAGCGGGTTGAAATCTCAGCGTGTCGCCTGGAACTTCTTGCATTAATTAGGGTGGTGGATTTAATTAGGCTGGGGAATTTAATGAGGAGTGGGAATCTGGCGCCGATATTTGGAAAGGGTGGGAGGTGCGAAATTAAAGCTGGAATTCAGGTTTACTTCACTCTGCCGCATCCTCTGGGCTCCTGATTCCAGCATCACCTCTGGGATGGGATAAAGTGAAGGAATTCTTCTCCCCGCGCGCGCCGCTTAA